GTAACGACACCGTCCGCAGACTATCCTGTTCCACTTGTATACAACGGGTAGTATACGGCGTTTATTCGCGGGAGTTAGAACCGCTACCGGTGCGTCGTGTTCCCGTGGTTAAGTGCGATGCGACGCACAGTTTCAACACAATTCGAGACGGTTAAGGTCAAGCGCACATTTTCACTGCGGCCCTGTCTCTCAGCGGAAGCACACCCAAGTCGTGGGTATCCGCGTAACCCGTTTCCCTATCCTTTCACTCTGTACCGAACCGCGGCGAATAATCCACACTGTGTGCATTCCATCCCAGAAACCTTCCTCCTGGGGTCATTGTTAAGGTTTCCTCCGCGAAAGGAAGCGTATAATTCCGAGTCGACTGGATCGCAAGATATCCCTGTGATGAGCGACGACGATGACCAAATTGGATCAATGCACAACGAAACACGTTCTGCCGTGTATGTACGTGTGTGTGTGTTACTTACTGCTGTTCAGTGGCCCTGTTTTTTCGGGGAGGAACGCGCGCGACGACGATGAACAGACGAGACGACGGACCGTGTGCTTCGATATGAATTGCGTTTCTAGGATTTTCTCTGCCGCTACTGCTGCTCCCGCTGTACAGACAGAAGGAGAGAGAGAGAGAGAGAAAGAGAATATCTGAATCGCACACGCGACCGACCGAGTTTGCGCGGCCGGTAGACTTTCTCTCTTTCGGCGCTCTCACTTTCGTTCGGGGTCGCGACGCGGCGCGTACCGCCACACCGCCTCTTCCGCCGCGCCGCGTTCCGAGGGAAGTATCGACGACCGCGAGGTGGAACGCGTGACGACCACGAACCACGCGGAGACTAGAGAGAGACGCGACGGTTGGACCGCGGCGCATGCGCGGCAGGATGTTCCCGCCTTCTCGCCGTTGCCCTTCGCGCGGCCAAAACCTTTCACTCTCGGCTACATTCGAGCGACGTAACCCCATTTTTCGGAAGGAGGCGAGGAGGGAGCGGCCCTGCTCGTTATCCTGTTCTAACCAGCCCTTGGGAAGGCTGCTGTAAGCCGAAAACCGACCCGAACCACGGGAGAAGGAGAGGAGGAACGACGAGGCTGCTCTCGCAGCATCGATTTCCATCCCTCCGATTCTCGGCTGCTCTTAATTTTGCACGCGGAGAGGAAGATTCTCAACACTCGTGTTCTGTCGACATGTATCCGCGTTGCCAGAATTTCGTATCGTAGGGTGACGTCACGTGGAGCTGTATACACATCGAATAGGACTTCTGTACACCATGCTAATACAATGGATTCTGGTGGTCCTGGGATATATCGGGAGTAGCGTCATTTGGCTGTCCCCCAATTATGCAAGATATTACACCTATGTGATTATCTATAAAACAGTACCCTCACGGGTATACTCGGCTTCCGCTAGGGGAAAATGTGAGGTTGGCGAAAGGCCTTCTACCATTTAGTTTTGGGAGTTACTGAAATTTATGCCAAATTAATATTCGGTTTAACATTTATTTCTGTATTTGAAATAAATTTAGTAAGGGTTGGGAGACTTTTCTTCTATGTCACTTTTTCCCCCTAGCGGAAGCCGAGTTTGCTCGTTAAGGGTACATACGAACGAAAGCGTGACGTCGCGTCCCTAACACAAATATACCCCCTCGCCACTCCGTACTACCTCACTTCGTCCTTACGCGGCCATCTAATCCCTACTTCTGGCAACGTTGATATGTCTTCCTTTTTTTTTTAAACAAAAAAAAAGCAGTAGACGATCATTCTCTACGAGAATATTGTCAAATCCCCATGTTAGATTGGGATGACGATGGTGTTCTCGTTTCGCGCCGTACAGAAACGAACCGGTTAGAGACAGAAGGATACGCGCGCGTTTCGTCCGAATATATTGATTCAACTCCCCGGCTGATAGGCCCCCTATTGGGGAGGTAATTGTTAACAGCAGACTAATCCACTCCTTTAAAACAAATGTGTACGCACGCACGCGGGAAATGCATCCTCTCTCCCATTTCATAATTGCGCGCGGCGATATCGCTTACGATATTGCGCGCGTTACGCAACCAGGTTGGCGTGTTAAAAAAAGTTTCGGACTCGTTACACAACGCGAGCGCGCGCAACCTTCTGGCCCCTACGCAACACACCCGATGCATTGTTATCCATAATAACCACCGATACGTAATTATTTTTAATAATTTAGTTGTAGTAATTTCGTCAAGTTAACGTATACTATATAAAAATATTATACTAATTCACAAGAATATGTAAAAAAAACAAATAGAGTGGAATAATTTCAGCGCCAATGGCTGGAAATGTTTATTTACTTAGTATTGTTCGTTCGCTGGTGAAATCGGTACTTTTTCTCTATAATTTAATCAATCAAATTTTTCTGATCTTTCAAATTGAAGATATAGATTATTAAAAAAATCTAATCTTCACGTATCAAGTACTTATTAGTATTATTACCATTCAAAACTCATATTTAGTAATTACAAAATCTCTTAAGGGTGTCCGTTCATGGTGCGTTTACCTTAATATAAAATCCAAATTTTTTAATAAAAATTGATTCATTCGTCAGGCACACATCATTTTTCTTCGAGACCTCGCGGCATACTGGAACGAAAGTGACCCAGCCATCGTTATGCGAGGGTTAAACACGGTCCAATAAGCCCGTCCCCCTTCGATTCCCTCGGATCGTCACGCACGGCAATAAAACGGGACGATCGGAACCGGCTATGATCCTTCCTTCCTAGCAGGAAAAAGAACCGAAAGTGTAGTTCGGAGGGAAGAAAAAAAGGAAGAGCGAAAAATCTATCCGACGAGACTCGGGGATCGACTGAACCAAGGAGGGCGGTCGGCGAAGGGTGGCGCAAAGGATGTCAGGGACCTCTTTATACGGGGCCATGAGAGATTCTACTCGGTCGGGCTATCTCTTCTCGCTCGCCGAGGGGTTCGAAGGCGCTCGACGTTGCGCGTTACGGCTCGGCGTAAGGACCAAGAAGAGATCGAGGGGATGAAATTACCGCCGAGTGGTGGCTGACGGAAACCGAAGGAACGTCTGTCGTTAGGTTTTTTTGCTTTGTTTCCCGACAGAGTATTCCAAATTGGACGCCGCTGGATGTTTTTAATGGATTTTCTCCTTCTTACCTAACATTCCCCGTTTGCCGATTTTCATTGGGACCCGCCTTTATTTACGTTCGTGTCGCCTTCGTTGCGTAATACACTTAACCTTTAACCCATTGTGAGGGCAATCAAAATATTCACGGTTATTGTGCAATCGGAATTATTCTGAGGGATTAGATAAACACAGGTAATTTTAATTTCATACTTTTCCGAAACTCTTTGTTTTCCCTTCCTGTAATATACCAAGTGCTGTTTTAGACAAGAAGATAAAACAAAGTGAAAGGAAATTTAGAAATGGGACGCAACCGACAGGGCCGCCGTCCGAAAACTGTCTCCAGCGAGGCTGTTACGTCGTTGACACGCGTCCCAACCGCGCTCGGATAAAAATACGAAAGGGGATGGTTCGGATCGTGGAGACCCTACGACAATCTCCCTCGATAAATCCGGATCGTAAAGCCACGGAACGTTCCAGTATAGTCGTATATTATAGTCAGAAGTATTTTCCACAAACGGACGACATAAAACAGTGGCGAGGGCGAAACAAAAACACGGGGGGAGGATCGGTCAGCAAATTGAGGAGCTTCTCCGCATGCAAGGACAGACTTGAAACAGGAGGAAGCACTTACCTTGCGTGACCAGCGACACGATTAAACGTTGAATACGGAAAGTTCGGAAATTAGGCGTGATCTAACCTCGACACTAGAACTATTAAATAAGTCAAAATGACTTGCCAATACATTCTTACAACGATGATTAAAATCCTATAACAATCCATTTTCTCAGATTTTTTGTAACTTTTATCACGATACGACATCAAAGAAATTAGTTAATTTATAAATTTGTAAATTTTCAAAAGTTTGTCGTAGTTATCGATCGATCGAAATCGCTTTAGTGCAACAATTTCACGGTGATTTCGCGACGAGACACGGTAAAAATTTTCCAACGTTTCGAATAAAATTTTAAATATTAAATTTTTACGTTAACTCTGTAGCAGGTGTGTCCCCGATATAAATTCCTGGCCTCGATCGTGGGGCCTCGAGGCGTTACGCTGGAATATACAACACGGACTAGAAGTGTGCCCACCGATGATCTCGCGGCTCAAAGTATAATAATTGGAAATTCTATTCGACGCTTGAATTATTCTAGTGTTACGTAAAATTGCTTGCTCCCCGACCGACGACGCTTTCCTGAAGATCGATTATTCGCAATAAGCTCGCCGCGAAGTTTTACGACGACCGAGTGAGCACAATAAAGCCGGGGAGACGATGAAACTTTGATCCGAGACCAGTTGCGCGTGTATATGCGTTCTTCTCAAACGAATACCTCGTGTGTGTTACAGGGTGTAACAAAAATGTTAGAGGACCCGGAAATGGGAGATTCGTGAGATGATTTGGAACAAGTTTTTCCTTAGCAAAAATGTTATCCGAGGCTTTGTTAACGAGATATTAACGAAAAACCCCCGACCAATCAGAGCGCGAGTCTGCCAGCCGAGTTCCCGCGGTAACGTTGACTATCAATCGCAGCGCTCTGATTGGTCGGGGGTTTTTCGTTAATATCTCGTTAACAAAGCCTCGGATAACATTGTTGCTAAGGAAAAACTTGTTTAAAATCACCTCACGAGTCTTCCATTTCCGGGTACTCGAATATCTTTGTTATACCGCGTATAAGATTTCTCTAACAAAAAGATTATCTTGATCGATCGTGGGCTCGTTTTACGAATTACACTTCGAAACACTGTACAGAGAATCACGATGGCTATTGTCGCCTTCTGGATACTGCTTTCGACGAAGAACATGCGACGTCAAAGGACAATAAGCGACTCTCGGAGGATACTTTCAAGCGTGTTTCATGCAGAAGTAATCGTAACGAGAAAAAAAAAATAAAATAGGTCTTACCTTAGGACGTAGTTCACGCAGACGACGGACAGCGGTTTCTGTTGCTTGGAACAATGGATAAGAGTGGCCTGCGTGACCACCCAAGCGTATCCACCACGTTTGCCCAAGAATCTGTACGCCACGGTCTCGCACTGACCTTTGCTGAACACTGAAACAGAGGGCAGAGAAGAATCAGAGGTGATCCTGCGACGTCCCGCCGCGGTACACACCATCCAGCTGATGATAGCTCTATGTATATATAGGAGAAGCAACCGATGGACCGATACTGCGCACGCAACGGCTCCTGGATGACGAAATTTCCCTGCAAGAGTTACCAATCCTTCAACCTCCTTCCCCCTCCTATTCCACGAATGACTAAACCCGTTAACGTTGCATCCGGTCGATCCGATAATTCACTCGAATTCTCTTTTGCCTGGGAATTCCACGAAATGCACCGTGGAAGAAAATCCAGGTGACTCGTAATCAGGATTTATCGGTTGATCTGTTTACAGGCGAAACATTTCTTCTCTCGGACACGTCGGGAATTCTAGGGAAAATCGTTCACCACGAATTTCGATAAAATTTGCGGATCAGGCTTATCGAGGTTATCCTACGCCTACTAGGCGGTCCCTTCACGATGATTCTTTCGTTATCGTGGCTGAAGAATCAGTAAAATGCTGGGCAGGAGATAGGGATTAGCAGGTGATCCGGATCGCTGATCGCCCTCGAGAGGACGAACATCACCGGGATCCGATATGCTGGCGGAGAAAAGGTCCGTTGGGTTCGATCGAATCGCTCTTTTCATCCGTCGACTATGGATAAGAAAACGATTCATACTGATACAGCGGAAATACTACAGATGATTTATAATATGTCATATACACATACAGGGTGTAGCAAAAATATTGCAGGTCCCTGAAATGGGACACTCGGGGGCGATTTGGAACAAGTTTTTCCTTAGGAAAAATGTTAACAGAGCCTCGGATAACATTTTTGTTAAGGAAAAACTTGTTCCAAATCGCCTCACGAGTGTCCCGTTTCAGGGTCCTGCAACATTTTTCTTGCACCCTGTAGTATAAATAAACAAATGAAGAATATAGCGTAATAAGGAATCGTCAATTTCAACATCGCGTAATGAAGCAAATTTGAACGCGCAACTGTTGGCTGGATCGATGTTCGTTTAATTATCGAATAATTTAATTAAAAGTCGCCACGATGAAGATGTAGTAGGAATGACGTCTGGAGGATAGCACTTTATGCCCAGCATTACCGGTCCGGATACCGATTAAATCACGGACTCGTAAAAGGCAAGCTCGCGAGAGCTCTCCTAAAATCCTGATAAGAGATTATCGTCCTTGAAAATCGTCCTCTTTACGGTGTCGTTCACCCTGTATGGACCAGCCCACGCCAAGAACTGGTATACCACTCTCGTCCCACCCAACCCCGCCTTAAACTCGACTTGGATTTTTCTTTCCCCTCGACGGGGCCAACCGACGATCGATGCAACGAAAACGACTTTCTTCTTCCGCGTGACACGTTATCTCGGGACGTGGAACCGACTTGAACGGAGGAGGAACGATAGATCCTAACGGAAAAACGCGTGTGTGCCTTCGACTAGATTAGTTTTGAAGAAAAAAAAAAAGCAATTCCTACGACACAAGGTACAGAACATACAGAAGAAATTTAGCACACTAGAATAAAAAAAAAAAAGAAATAAATCGGTATGTACGATAGCGAGTGGGCAGCAGACGGAGAATGATAGCGTTCATTTGAATTAGCATCAATTGACCATACTCACGTGATTTGAAAGATTTATCCAGCGCCAAATTGTCGAGGGCGTGGAAGAACTCGAACACAGATTGCCCGACCAGCTCCTCGCTGTTCCAGCCCAGATAATCGGCCAGCCTGACGAACGGGACCAACGAATTATTTCAATCGATTAGAATTTATGGATTTGAATAATTGAAAAGGTTGAAAAGGTTGAAAACCAAATAACGTTTAAACTCACTTCTCGTCGGCGTAGGTGAATTTCATGCTAAGGCTGTGCTTTGACAGGAACGTGTGGCGTCCCAATGGTATTTCTATGTTACTCGGATGCGGTATGGGACAACCAACCAGCACCAACGAAGCCCCAGTATCCCGTTCCATTCGCTCATCCTCCTCATCATCATCCTCCTCCTTCTCCGTCTTACGATCTTCTTCGTCCGTTTCCATCGCGTTCAACACCGGTGCGCGTATGTACGTCAATCTACCGATGCAGTGGATCACCTGACGCAAACGGAAACGTTGCACAATCAGCTCAAAAACGGTATACCATTTTATTTTTCGTTCTGTGATGGTCGATTCAGCGCGAACCACCCCAGGGGATTCGCGACCGTTTCGAGTCAAATGAAAAGTGGACAACCACCTTGTAGGAAGCGCTCTTCAGATTAACCTTCCTCCCTTTGCTGGTCAAAGTGCATTTCAGCCGCAGGAAGAAGCTGCACGACCGTTTGTCGTTGTTCTCGTTGGGCTTCGAGGCGAGACATTCGCGTAGCTCGTCGTGATCGCAAGGATGACTGTACTCGTACACGCTCTGGCCCATCATGTCCATCTGAAATGGAGAAAATTGAAGGTAGTGAAAATAGCTGCAGTGACGTGGTGATAGTAACGTGGTGGTAATTGGAAATCGTTGTTTGACAGGTTGCAGAATGGACGAACCTGAGAAACCCCCAGATAATCACTGACGTTCTCCGACAGGTAGATTATGTTCCCATCGCTTGAAAGCACCAGCATGAAACCGTTCAGAGCTTTTGAGAACAACTCGTCCATTTCGTTCGATGTCTCGGATTTCGCAGGAGGCGCTGGCACTGGAAAGGAAAAGAAGACACGAATTTATAAGAAAAGTCGTTACGACTTAAGACCATCGAGACGTGCTTTTCTCGATGAATCGATCCGTCCTGTTACCAGGGCAAATATATAGTTAATTTTAATTCGAATATCTAAATTATTACGAATGCTCGATAGAATAGAAAACTACTTACTGGACTCGATTACCGAGCGCACTTTAAGGTAGGCGATCGCAAGCCTCATCACGCTGGCCTTGTCCAGCTGAGCTGCTTGATCCGGCGGAACCGGAAGCGCGGCCGCCAATTCGGTGAAAATGTCCGTCTCCATGCTCCGACGGCATCGCGCCGCGTCGCGAGACTTCTCCTTCCGTTTCTCGTTACTCCTGCAACACAAATCGATCGTCCAAGTTCACCTGTCAAAATTCGTACAGAAATGTCATCGTGCCACCGAAACGCACAACGAATAACACTCGTTCAATAAATCGACGTGTTTTTTGTTTTCACAGCTGTATCGTTGCGTAACCGTCGATGGCATTCGGGAAGTACAGCGTCACGATTACGATATTCATGGAAATGGGCATGAACCGTGACCGTGAAACAGCCGAGACGCTACCCGTTACGAAATTGCGTCGGTTCGAAGATGACTCGCCAAACGAATCCCGTATTCAGACTATCCGAGAGTTGTCTGGGATATTGGGACTGTGAAATAGACGACCAGAAGTTTGAGACAGTGTGAAATGGATGGCTGGAACTTTGAACTACCAAAGTGGAAAATTTTTACCACCAAAGTGGAAAATTTTTACCACCAAAGTGGAAAATTTTTACCACCAAAGTGGAAAATTTTTACCACCAACATGGAAAGTTTGGACCACCAAAGTGGAAAGTTTGGACCACCAAAGTGGAAAGTTTGGACCACCAAAGTGGAAAGTTTGGACCACCAAAGTGGAAAGTTTGGACCACCAAAGTGGAAGGTTTGGACCGCCGAAAGTGGAAAGTTTGAGTCACTGAAAAAGTGGGGGGTTTGGACCGCCGAATGTGGAAAGTTTGGACCGACGAAGGTGGAAATTTTTGACCGCCGAAAAGTGGAAGTTTGGACCGCCGAAAAGTGGGAGTTTGGACCGCCGAAAAGTGGAAGGTTTGGACCACCGAAAAATGGAAGGTTTGGACCACCGAAAAGTGGAAGGTTTGGACCACTGAAAAGTGGAATGTTTGGGCCACCAAAGGGTGGAAAGTTTGAGCCACTGAAAGGTGGAAATTTCGAGCCACCAAAACGTGGAAAGTTTAAGCCACCGAAATGGAAAATCTGGGCCACCAGTAGCAAACAGAACAAGGACAGTGACGTACGTATCGTGTCATAGATGAGATTTTCATCAGATACGTCTCGTCACGTCTCGACTATCTCGAACGGTCGTTATCTGCTCTATAGAATCAACCGTCGAACCACGATCTTTTTCGTTTTCTTGAAAACTCGAGGCAAGCTTTCTTTCCTTCTCACTCTTGCTGCTGCTCGAGATTTCATCGAGTCGAACCGTATTTACGTTGCCGCGTCACCACGGAACAGTGTTTGTAGTTTGCCTAGGAAAAGGAGCACTATCGGGGCGAGAAGAAAATAGGATCGACGGGAATCAAACACGAAATATCTGTGTATAATTAATAATTAAATAAAGAATGCAATGTATATCAACTCGCTCTTGATTTCTAGACAGTAAAAGCCTCCATGTTTTTCTTGTTCCAGCTAATACACATAATAATGATAACAAAGTTTCCGTCTGAATCGCTCTGTTTCCTCGTATTACAACACGCATCATGGAATTTCAAATTACAGAGAACGTAGCAGACAGAAATTTCCTCTCGTCGAGTGACTACTTTGATTATCATTGGTTTCCCGTTCCGACTCAACATTCTCGAGGAATCAACCGTTCGATCATTTTAGAGACCCCACTCGATTATCGTCCCGAACACGGGTCTGCGCTGGGACAATAATCTTATAGTAAGAAATCCTTCAGACCCTCGTAAATTCGTTTTTTGCCCGAAGCCCTAGCTTCGGTAACAAAAACGCAGGGCAACAAAGTATACGCTTGACAGCCCCCCCTCCCAGTGATGGGGATAACCCCTGGACAATAATCGTGTAGAACAACCCAGACGATAATCGAGAGGAGTCTGTATCGCAGAGTCAAACTTCTGTTCCCTAAATCCGCGGGCACTTACAAGTAGTCCTCGAGAAGCTGCTCGTCCTCGTTGCACCCGTATCGCCAGTATTCGTTCCGAAAGTCCTCGTACGCGCATGGCGGCAACGCGTACGGGTCGTAAACGGTGTCGTTTAAAGGGCAACGATCGCTCTCGGGACACTGGAGCCAACGTTCGTCCGTGCAAAAAGGGAAATTCTGCGGACAGCTGTTGCAGAACTGCTCGCCGAGCCAGTCGGAGGCGGCGCAGTCTAAATCAACGTTCCCTTGGGGGATATCGATAGGATCGAACGTGTCCAGTCTCTTGCTCGGCACATCAACGGTCGGATACTGTTCGCCGTACTTGGCCCTGAATCGACGGAAATGCGGGGGATTAGTGGCGGCGGCTCGATAAGGACGCGGGGGACAATTCGTTTGCGATCTATCCGGCTCGAAATACAGGGCCAGATCCTCGACGTCCACCGAACCGCCCAGCTGACAATTCCGTGAATTACTGAGGCCCGTGTTGTTCATCGAGCAATCCCGAAACTGACTGCAAAAAGATGGCAGCTCTTCGATACAGACCGAAGGCTCCACGCACGGAAGAGAAACATCGTAGAGACCGAGGACAGATGGCGTCGATTCATTCTGGTTCGATTCTGATCTTTCGTACCGATCGAAAGGTCTTCGCACGTTTATGGACCCGTGGCGTTCGTCGATGCATTCGGTCGGCTGGGAAACGAATCGACAGGACGGTAGATTCGACTGATCGTCGTAATAGTAGCCCGATGATCGTCTACCGATCCACTCGGACCCGCTATGGGATTCATTATCACGTGGCGCGGTCATCGTTTGATGATCCTCTCGTTTCTTCGAATCTCACAACGGTACAGATGTCGGCGCCACGGCTCGTTTTTTTCCGTTACCCGCTACGCGTCGGACAAATAAAACTTCGTCCCGATTTTACCGAACGGGCCTCGCCGAGCGTCGCTTCGCGCCAATGCCGCGACGCGCCGCCTCGCCCTAGCGTTGATTCCTTTTCTTCCTTCTTACTGGCCCCCTCCCATCCCCCCAACCGCCCCACCGACCCTTCGCCACTTGATCCGCTTGCTTTTTTTACTCGTAGAACGCTGCCGGGCAGTGTGTCTTCTTTCTTCCCTTTCACCTCTTCTTTTTCTGGGTTAAAGTTTCCTCTGCCACTCGGAGATCCACTCTGCCGTCGACTCGGTCTATACACCAACGAGACCCTCCTCTCCCGCGAACCGCTCGATGCCCCTACAAACTTCTCGTACTTCAAAAATCGACACACGACGTTATCTTCGCCTGTTGTCAACTTCAATTGTTCACGATTGCGAAGTCCACGAGTCTGCTTCGTAATAATAACCCGTATATCACCGAGCTTATTCAATAATTTCGCACACTTAAACTATTCCCTGTGAAAGCCATTCCCCGATTCCTCTGCATGGTTCGATCCACCGAAACGCCGATCCGTTGGCTTCGCCGAGTGTTCCTCCAAGTGGGAAAATCTTTAATCACGCCCAGCGTTCACACGATACTGAAAACGAGATATACAACGCAGCCTTCTAGTCTCCGCCACACTTGGAACCATCGCTATCACGGCCGATAACGATATTACATATCGGCCGATACATCGATATACTTTTCTCACCTTCGATCGTTCGACCAATCGAATTTAATCGCTCGGTCGCGTCGCCCTACTCGTTCTCGTTCGACCCTCCCATTATGTACTCCGAGATTCGAACAATAGAAAATACATATAAAAATTCGAAGCACGACAGAGGCGAGCATTTCCGTGGGGCTTAAGGGATGCGTTGTCATTTGTTCGATCGCAACCCTTTCGGACGGAAAGTCTGGAATTTTTTCGTTCGCTTCGCTGCAACCAACCGAGCAGAGTATACATATCTATGCTTCTTGGAGGATTTGGAACGCACGGCGCGCACCATGCGGGACCCACTTGGTCGTCGTTTTTCTTACGTCAATCTTTAACGACGGGGGGGGATTAGCATTCATTTACAAGATGGCCCCACTCGTGAACCATGGAACCTTTACTCTTCATAAGTTCCCTCAAGAGCTTTCTCTGGTTTCTACATACTATTAAATATTCTATCGCCCAGGCGAACCTAACCTAAATTGAACGTTCAAATCGATGTTTTTGACATTCAACGATTCCTACCAGGGTGAACGGAAATTCATCGAGTTAAACATTTTTTGCTTCCACGCATGGCTCAAGTTTCTTCGAAATTATCGTTTGATCAAGATACATCACGTATCGGGTCCAATATAGGGATATCGGTTGCGTTGGTTGGTAATGGGGAGACAAATTGTATGCTTGCGAGACTTTGCAATGGTTCGCTCACAGAATCCACCGGTTCGCTAAAACGAGACCAGGCTGACATCTGTGGGTCGACCGTTCATCAAAGCTATCGGCCTTGACCTAAACGAAACTATTTCGCGAAAGGACGCGGAAACGGGGCCGTGGTTTCGACTATCTACGTCGCAAACAGAGCCCTAAACACTTTTCTTCAATGAATCATAACTATTGAGCTAACAAACTGATCGAAATGAGTTTTGCGGGTACTTACAGTGGAGACATAAGAAACCAAATAAAAATTATTTCAGTTTAAAAAAAATATTTTTTAATCATCTATTTTGCAATTGTTTTAAATAAATGTCCTATTTTTATACGGGGGAACTATTTAAAAATTTGAAAAAAGAAATGAGGATATAGCCATATTTGCCCTCTTTATGGACACTTTAAAATTGGCCGTATGAAAATTAATTGAAGTGAACCGATATAACGATGATACATGAAATTCGTGGAGCGAGCAAAACATCAACCGCGGCTTTTCCGCCCAAAAGTATTGCCGTGACGTTGCGTCAGGCGGACACACGATTCGACGTCAAAAGCGGATCGTTAGAGTGTAATCGGTTGTTAAGTGTGCCGGGGAACGAGCGACACTCTACGCGCACCTATCTTATCCGGATACACGCAGATGTTTCGCGGTGCTCTTAACTGCCTCGGTGTTGAGAATTCTGGTCGGCGAATGACTAAGCAAAAATGATCCAGAAAAACATTCTTTACCCGTGGTACAAGTAGTTCTGAATTACTCTTTCCGAAGAAGCGATTTAGGGTCATCACAGTCGATAAAGCAACTGGAACCGCTGATGCCACATGTATCGCATGGTAAAACAGTAATCCAAAAGTCTCACAACCTGATTAGCTAATCACGTATATATGTTACAGTAAAAGCGTTAATTCAGTAAGTATATACATTTCCTAGTCTATGTGTGCACTTACTAATCTGGTTGGTAAATGTATTCACAAGGAACGAAATTTATACTTTTATTAGTAAATGCATACATTTACATTTCTGGATTAATTTGGACAAACACTTTGGCTAGCATTTGTTCATATGAACCATATAACTTATAAATTTTGTCTTAATAAGGAACCTGTGGTTTTATAAAAACAACCAATTTTCTTAAAAAAAGATTCCTACATTATCAAATAAACTGTAAAGTTCTCAGTTCTTATTTTTGTTCAATAAATATACCTATATTTTAAAAATTTATACTTTCGACATTATGCTTTCACTAACGTGCTGTAGAAATTGAATGCATTATCTAGTAAATGAATACATATACTAGAAATAGGTGTACATTCTTACATTCGGTTCGTACCTCTACTAAAATCGTACGTAAATGCATACATTGATTAGTAAGTGTACGACATTTACTAAACTTCACGCTTTTACTGTGACATATACACCCAGTTTGACTCAACGGGCGCCCCTATGCAACGCCTTCGACTCTAACCTTGACAACGTGCTAAAAAAAAAATATCGAGTTAGATTCGATAATTCTGAAAACACATGGAACAACCTATTAATGGTTCCTACAGATGTAATTGGGAAAAGAAAGTTCCCAAAAAGCCGTGCCCGCGTCGTTATTCAACCAGCGTACACCAACGAACGATCGTTTATGTGTGTGACGTGTTTTCGATATCGGACAAGGGAAGAGAAACATCTACAACGTTTCGCCTGAAGCGGTGAGAGTTTCTCTCTCTCTCTCTCTCTCTCTCTCTCTCTCTCTCTCTCTCTCTCTCTCTCTCGCCCTTCTTTCCGAGTGCGTACCACGTGAACGAACTACACGGTGAGTACAGATTATCGAAAACAGACTTCTAAGCTCTGATATTTCATTATAAACAAAACGTTTGATGGTATAAATATGCATGTAACGGTTCATAAAAGCGTAGTGACAATCGAGATAACTACGGTTGGCTCATCGTTGAACACCGTTAAAAAACTATTCGAACGTTCTTCCGTTCTTTTCAATCGCGTTGCAAAGAAACGAAAAACATACGAGATACTTACATACGTTCGTAGATTCCAAAGACGCGTGAAAAACTTCGATACGCGGCAAATGTTAGCCGCGTTTTATCTCGGCCGTTTCGTTGATTATGCGACGACTCGGAATTAGCATACACCGTGCGCGTGACAGTAGGCGCTTCCGATTTATCTGAATTTCAGTGATTCCGAGAAAAAGACAGAGCTCGACTATTTTCACGTCAGAGAAAGAACCGTACATATATCGTGCACGGGGGCTTTTCGCGGCAAAGAATATCGATGGCTAGAAAATTCCGATGGAAGCGACCGCTTTCTAACGGCGGTACGGTAAGCATCGTGTGTCGAGACGGAGGATTTTTAGGTTATGGCGAGCGTCGTTCTAACGAGCGTGTTTGCAACCATGTTAGAATGACCACGCAAACTGTACGAGGATAAGAAAAAAAAAACAAGAATAACAAGTACAGAGTACGAGTTCGTAGGAAGCGTCTTGAATTTTTCATTGCAGTGAAATACGGAAAGTACAACTCGCGATGCAAACCGAATGCGTTCTTTGGCCTTAGTATGGAATTATCCCAGAGAAACTCGGTATCGCGAGGACATCTGTCTCTTGAATGCAACAAAGAAGATATCTAGCATGCATGTACCCCCCTGAGCAAACTCGACTTCTACTAGGGGAAAAAGCGGCGTAGAATAAAAGTCACCTACTACTTGGTAAATTTATTCCAGGTACTAAAATTAATGTTAAATCGAATGTTAATTTGACATAAATTTCAGTAATTCCAAATACCAACAGGTAAGAGTATGGTAGGAGGTGCAACCTGCTCAAAAGGAAATAAAAAGAGAAATCGTCGTATACCCTCCACACAATTAATCCTACCCCTTCGAGTGGCTGCCCGTTTTACAAAATCGTAATGTGGCCGTCCGTGGAAATATAGAAAGTTTGCATCCAACCGATAAATTATTTCTCCCTTTTCTTATAACAAACAAGATAAATCATATTTTCCTCCTCTAATTTGTCCAGCACGCAGCTGGAGAGCAAAACGAAAAGGATGGATTTATTAGAAAGAGATGGCATAAATGAGCATGCAACGGGACGAAATGGGAAAGAAAACAGCTGCGAGAGAAGGATACCAGAAAGAACACAAGAGATACAAGGAAGAAGAGAGAAGGGAAAACACAGAACGAGCGAGGAGAGGGAAGAGAGAGAGAGACTCATTCGACCGGAGGAAACCCGATTGCGTCAAACACGCACTTACTCTCTTACGCATATACATACGCGCAAGCTGGTGCGCGCGCGCTAGCAGTACAGAATTTATTCGTTGGTATTGGATGATTCCAACCTAAGCACTTGCCATCGTCCGACGAAACCAACGAGATAAGCTGGAATGCCGTATATAACGGTATGCTTCGAATCATCGATGGGACCCATAAGAAGAAAATAATAAAACAATGTGCATGAAACTAGTGTCCATACGGGTGCACTGCGCCTCTGCATTCCCGGTACGACAACGATACACTCACCTTCTTTTCTCCTTGTGTTTCTTCTCTTTTCTCGTCGGCTCCATAACAAAGCAGGGAACGTAGCAAACGGTTTTTTCCAGACAGCACTACACCCCGGAACACTCTCGGTCACTGCCAAGGAACGTATCCAGCGTGCAACTCCGCCACGAAATCGTCCCGATGATTCTTGGGTTCCAATAGTGTCTCTCTCCTGTACTTTGCTCGCGCGGATTCGTTTGTGTCCTTTTGTCACGTTATCGAGATCGATGCACCAACATACGCTCCCCGTACAATACGCGACGTCACCGGAACTTGTTTCGTGCCACTAACGTTTTAAAACGAAAACACATCCTTCCACTGACCGTACGAAACGCTCTACGAACGCCAAACTCATGGTGTGATGGCGATGACGATGGGTGAGGTTAGTAGTGGTAGTGTGGCTGGTTACAATGGTAGTGGTAGTAAACGACCGCGGCGTGCTGGTAGAGGTTGTATACACGGGATCCGACTGTCCAAAGGATTGGGACTGGAGGGGGAACGACGTCGCACTGCTTTCGTTCTGCTTCCTTGTAGTTACCGCCATCGAACGGCGGTGACGTCAACTAAGCCCATCGTCGCGCGATGAACAAGTAGAACGTTTCAAATCCCCGGATAACGAAAGATGTGAAAAAAATTGCATCTTGTTGCTCAATTTGTGTGTCACAACGCGTTGCAAAAAAGGAATTGTCTGTTGATACTTAGAACTGTTTATTCATTGTCTCGTATCGTATAATACAGGAGGTACATAGAACTCGTTAGAACCGAAGAATGACAAAACGTAAACTTAAAATATATTCATTATTGCACATTTTGCTACTAACTGCTTTGCTTCTCTAGTAACCAAAACAAATTATTAAATTAAAAAAAAAAAAGATGCTGTAGATTGTTCTTTGCCGTGATTAAGCGAATGTTGTCTTTGACGACTTTGCAGAAGGTGGAGAATATACATACGAGAAGAAGAATATTTGCGAATACTTTATTTTCTTCAAACATACTTTTTCACACAACCTATTCATTGTGAGGACTACAGAGATCCCGTTTCATTAAGTCCCAATAAAAATTTGCTCTAGACGCCATGCGACACGATTATATCGCGTCGTTTGTTCAATGGCAAAACAGCGGTCGTTCGTTAAACTTTAGTCCGTTCTATTTCTACATTTGTACTAGATGACTGTGGCCTTCCCTCCCTTTTCGATTCTATTCTTCCGAATCCATATCTTCATCGAATTCATCTAAATTTGTGTCTTTACTACCATACAAGGCAGGATACTGGGTCATACACATTTGCATCGTTTTAAATGCTTCGTAACAGTCTGAGCCTTTTGGATCTGCAGTGGAGTAGTGGAAACACGAGAAAGCTTCTCTGAATTCTACTCCACACGGTCCTGTAGCCATACCTCCAAGACAAGGACAGTTCCAGTTGATTTCACCATTGGGCAAAAGGAGACCAGGACTTGGTTCTGGTTCTGGAAGATCTATTTTACTAGGTGTAGCATGATCTTCCTTAGATGCAAATATAATAGTATCTTTTCCCTCCTTATGAATTAGTGGCATAATTGATCAATTGCTAGAAACATGCAAAAATTCTATGATCTTTTTCTTAGAAGAGAAAGGCACACAGTAAATTGTACTAGATTCTTTCTCGTATATAATCCTTTATATCTTAATGTTGATAATTCCTACTGTCTGCAGAAAATGATAATAGATTAGCTGTGGTACGATGGATGTGATATATGCACAGTTTGTCTTCGTACTTTTCGGCAAGTGATAATGCTGTCCTTAGACGTACATAGCAATCATTTGGGCACCGTAAGATAAATCTATAATCCTTTGGATTATACTTCAAAATATCAATTGTACACTTGGTTCCTTCTTCCCCAAATAATTGTTTAACAGATTGCAGAATATTTTTCTTTAAAAAGACCTGTGACACTTCGTAGTTAGCACAATGTGGCAGTTCTCTGAAAGCAATGAAAAATGTATGCTAGCTAACAAATAATTCGTTTATGGGCACTAATATAGAAATTCATGTTAATACTTCTGATCGATTTCACAAATATTTCTCCAATAAATAAAGAACACAATGATCGTAGCTATTTACGAAACTTCAAAAAAAAAACAACTGATCGCACTTGTGAACAAATGAAGAAATATTTCAACAGATTACGATACCCACAATGATTATGATAGAGCAGTAGTGTAGATAACGACGAACCATAAATCATTTTCAATTCAAATTTCTACAAGTGAAGGTATTTCAAGGATATCAGTGGGAAATTATAATGCATTTATGTTCTGGATTTAATCTACATCGACCGTACATGGAGAATAGGTTAGGTTACGTTTGCGTGGACAAAAATGTTAAAAGAGATTGAATGTACTAACAGAGAAACGTCTAAGTAATACATAGCACACAGAACACTGTTTCGCGACTCACATTGAACATTCGCGAATTTAAGATAGCACTTTTCGTCGATGCTTCGTGTAAAGCACTTTGCGGCGTTTCATTCATGCCTTCGTGATAGAAGAAGCAGACAACATCATGGCCTGTTAACTCCTATTAGAATCGTATAGTCAGTTATAAGCTACCGATCTTCGTCATCAATGGCGCTAGTGTCGCTCTTTTCAACACATAACGCATATTTTGTGTTATAATAAATTTTATATTGGTTGTTCGCAGTTTTAAATGTATTCATTAAATCAATAAACATATTTAAAATTGCGAATAAATAATATCAAATTTATCATACACGATCCAAATACAGTAGCCGTCACTCACTCAGTGTCTTGTCTATTATAAATCGTTCCGAAATTCAAACGTGTCCTGGACTTCCGGCACCCGTTTTAGTACTAACACTTGTCACCCATGGCGCTGGAAAATGACCAATAAAAACCGGGGAGATGTTACCCCCGTGGCTAACACGTTTCATAGCAGAGAGATGTCGCCGCGATCGTTTATATCGGGACATTTAAATTCAATGACAGTATGATTATTAACGTATTTAAATTATCAAGGATATTGTACTCGGTATTATCATAAGAGAAGAAGTATGAATTCTTTTGGAATGTTTATTAATGGAATACTTGGGATCGAATTTAGAAAGGGAAACAAGTCGTTGCATGTGTCATCCAATACAATTGCTGTATTTCTAGGAAATATTTCAATGCTGAGCTAGTGACTAAACGAGCTTACGAATTCGCAGCGACCATCGAAACAGCCTTTATCCGGCTAAATCCTGCGGGACACTATGGAATGAACAAGGAGCTTGGCCCGACGTAATCCGGAAAGTTATTATATGTCGGTGGATAATAAATCCGTGTCATTCTTTCACAATCGTCTCCATGAAATATTTGGAACCTTAATTTATCCAAGCCACTCCCTTTAGGCCATTATTAAAACCATGTCTATACGATTTCTTTCTATGGGCCATTCCTATTTACGTGTTTCCCAGATTAGTGTTTTTTTTTCACGTATCGATATACTGACTGCGCAACTGTGTCGACGTAATGTACGCATGCACAAATAAAGCATCGAGGAAAAATCAAATTTCATTGAATTTCAACATTATTCGGAGTACTCACGAAAGCGCAATTTTCTCGCGAAAGGTCAATGCCAATGTCAATAGAGGGAAGGTTAAAAGCTATCATAAAGAAAAATTTAAAGTTTCACCGAGAACGCGTCGTTGTGAAATTCCATCGGTTTTGTGAAACAGGAAATTAAATCGCTGTCTATCCGCCTCTTTTTATCCGTGAATACGCTCTGACCCCTCCGTTCAAGTTACATTTACATTGTCGATCATGAAAAATATGGTCACGCATCGTGCCTGTGGCTTTTCGATATCGATTGAAACGCGAGAAAAGGACGGAAACGAATTCATTAGAACTCTGTACACGCTGTAATACCTACTCGCCTCTCTTTTGGCATTCGGAACATCTGGCCTCCTTTGCTTCAATACCGACTGATTTTGACAACCCAAGGATACATATATATATACATATATACATATATACTTTCGGATATACAATCTGCGAAAGAATTGATACTTGGGTTACCTGGAGCGTTACTCGAATCGCTGGTCGACTGGTGAGCTCAGTGACTGGGCTACCCAAGACCCTTACGCTTATCCTTTTCACTGTTCCATGTGGGTCCTGTATACGAGGCCTGTGTGCATTGGCGTAACGGCCGAGAATAGCAACGGGGGCTTCGACTCCGCGACAGAGTCGTCGAAAAGAAATGATTTATTTCAACGTACAAACCGTGGAGGAAAATGAATTATTTACCGCGGGAACCATAAAGTCCTAACCATACCTCTGATCACGGTATTCTCGTTATCTTTTACACAGATTCCACCGAGCAAGGCTCGACGCATTGGCGTAGGACGACTGGGACACGCGCGTACCGTCAACGTTCCACGCCTGCCAAATGATATTCCAAGAATTGTACATACCCACCGTTGTATATATGAATAGCGTTCAACGAAAATCGAACGGAATAAAATAGGCACCTCCTGTATCTGTTTTTTCGCTCGGGGAAAGACTGTCGAGGGTCATGCTGAGGAATGTGTACGCTCGCCCGTGTGGTCATGAGTGTCCGGGGCGTGTGGTGGCAGCAGCTCGCGGCACGCTAAAAGGAAATCGCAGGAACGTGCGAAAATTTGCGGCTCGAAAATATCGATGTGCGGCTAGAGAGCCCGGCCAGGCTCCTCCGTGGCAGCCACCGCCACGTCTCTCTCCCGTTGCACTTGGCAGATGCAATCGAACCGGAGTTCCTTCATTTAAGGAGAGACGATCGATGATGCGATGCTTGAAACACGCGCGCGTGTGCGTTGTAGGCTTCGCCGAGGGCTTCGACACACCATATCCGGCGGCCTATCGTATCAGTCGTTTCTCGAGACAGTTACTTCTAGGAATTTTAGTGTCGCTCAAACGTCGTCGTCTAAAAATGTTGCGATGGCCGTCGGCCATTAAGTACGTATATTTCGGCGAAACGGATTTTCAAACCGACCGAAAAGTTTTATGTACATGCGCGACGACGGTCCATGAAAACGTACACGCACACGCCCACAGAGTGCGCGCACACAACTCCTCATGATTCCCGAGGCAAACTATAATCCCATATATCGGGGTTCGGTTAGAAGCGTGTCATCGGACACAATGGAAGACTAATGACGTCACGGCAACTATAGCACGGAAAGCGGCGTATTCGCCGGAATATCATGAATAACAAAGAATCGTGGAGTCATCGTATTTGTGCCGCCCGGGGCCCCCGTGTGCGCGTTTAATCGTATCCCGTGTCGCGCTGGCTGCTCGTCTCGTCCCGTCGCGACCGTGTCCCGACGACGGTTCGTCGATAACTTTCAAAAACCGTTCTCCACCCGAAAAAATCAGTTGTCGGCTCACCACCAGCGAACGAAGAAAGGAACACGTTATCAGGCCGACGAAAACGGCAAGCGGTCGCGACAGGAGGAAAAAAAAAAAGAAAAAATCAATGGCCGATGTGTCGTCGGCTCCAGCGGCGGGGCGGAATGTTAAACAGAATGGAAACTCGTCGTGGCGAAAATAACAGGCGACAATAGGCTGAAATTGCACCCAGGAAGCGGCGTCGCTTGGGTTCCTGTATATATATTTCATTGTCCCCGTTACCTTTCCGCGTGTGCAATTCGATTTGTGAGCCCGAGAGGGGTTACGGCTCGAAGGTTAAAAGATCCTCTTTTTGCCCTCCCCCCCCCACTTTACAGGCTAGTTTACAATACGCATACAACGTGGAATCACGGGTACCCACCGGTATAATAAGTCTCGGTAGGTAATTGCAGGTTTTTTTCTCGTTTCTCGAACGAATTCATAACCAAAGTGAGGATTTTTTTCGGTAATTTCAGCCCACGACAAGACGACCAGGCGCCTCAACAAGATCGCGGCGGATAATTTATTTGACGCGCGGTACCATTACGCAACACGATGAAATAAGGAAAACGGAAGAGTAGCTCTGGACGATGCAACGAAAAATAAAAGGACTTCTCTCCCTCGTGTGATCATTAAACTCGGTACCGACCAGCCGGCGGACTGGTTCTCCTTGACGAGATACGCACGCGTCATATTGCCGTTAGTAAAATCTGTCGATTCAGCTTTCTGAAAATCACTGTTACCGACGACTTCCACTTTCCCCTTCTTCCGCCTATTCTCACCCGTTCGCGAGTCCCTCGCGAACTGGGAGAGGCACGAGGAGCAAGACAACATCTTTCCCAGGCGGAACCCATTTGCCAGCTGGTGTACTTGCAACAAAAATTGTAAATCGTAATTCAATCGAATCAACCCGGAAAAAAGTAATTCTACGGGGTGGGATATGAAATCATGCGAACACTCCCGTCGGTATACAGTAAATTCACGATAAGTGTTTCAAGACGTTAAATATTAAATATTTCATAAACTAATTGTCGTATGAGGTTGAAGCAAATATCATTTGAAACCTCATTAAAAAGCATTACACTTGGAGCACTTCCGTTCTCAGTGCCGAGCCTTCGAACACTCGTCGAGGATTTACTGTACATCAAAAAGTAGACGAATGAAGCGTGTTGCGAAGTTGTTTTAACATGAAATATAAATATATTTGGGTGGTATTGTACAGTCAGTGATTCGTTCGTATATACAGAACTATGTACATGCCGAACACTATGTCCTCAAATACTCTGCGCGTAAACCCCGCACTCACACATGCATACGCACTCGGTCGAAATCGTTCGATCCCACACACGTGTTTTTGGAAATGATCATCCATTCTCGTCCTGGGACTCACACGCCATCCATCCGCCGTCGTTGGATCCATGAAAGATCCGCGCTGAGTCGTGTTTCATTCTCTCTCGCGCACACACTCACTCACACACACACACACACACACTCTATTCTTTAATCATCGAGTCGAACGTGATTTGGCGCTCGTTTACATTTTTCCCGTGTTTCTGCGACTAATTAGGACGTCTCCCGCCGGACAATTCCATTCTACTGGTTCATCGGCGCCGTTCGCGAGTTTATCATATTTTTTTTTCCTTTATTCTTACAACTTCCATCTTTATTTTCATTTGTTCTCCAGTAAGTCAGCCTAAGCGGTTTTTGATCGTGTTACACCGTTTCTCTGTTTTTCATGCTCTCGTCGTTCAATTTGCGATTTACTTATTTACGTTTCTTTTGCAACGCTTCACCGTCGTGCATTATTCGCTCGCCCTTACTGACTTTTTTTTCGCCTTTATTTATTCTATTACAGAACTACGTATTTTATGCATATTTTTTTTTCCGTTTACTCGTTTATCCGCGTTTACAAACCACAACGAGGTATCGTTTTTTTTCTTTTCTTTTTTACTTTAGACTTCATGACTACTAGTTAGAGAATAAGCGTAGAAATGTATCACACTAGAGACTTGCACGTTATCATTAAATGCGTAGGGTATGTTTTCGAGTTTCTTTTTCTCCTTCTTATTATTCGCCTTGCGCCGAGTGTGTTTCCCATTTCGATAATACAGTAGTGTAGTTTCAGTTGGTTAG